TACTGGTTGTCTAAAATGATGGAACAAATGGGAGTCTTTGGCGCTTAGCCTGCTCGATAGATGTGAGATAGGTTCTGAAGAACATGGCCCTTTGCAGCTAGGAGGTCACGTGCCTAGCAACGCCAAATTGGAGAGCAAGATTTTCTGCACAGACAAATTGAATGAGTCTCTTGATCTGAAAGGCGGTTATTTTGAATTGAAGCGTTAAATACCTTTCCATCTCTCAAAATCCAGTAAGTTTAGCATATAAATATAGCTTTAAGCACACCCTCTAATCGGAAAGGTTAATATTCAGCTGGGATCGCGGCAAAAATATCAGCGTCAAGTCCACCACGAGTTACAAACATGGCTTCTCCTTCAGGTATGTAGAACAGATCTTGTCTTCTTGCTGCACTTTTATAGCGACGTTTGGACGATTAATACAAGTAAAAAGAAAGAAAATACGGTAATTCACTACACTTTAAGTTTAGGAGCTGTTTACTACCGATAAACATAGAATTTTGGCCATTGATTTCCCATAAAACTATGGTATTTGAATCAACAAGCGTTGTTTTTATTGTTGTAGATATTGATATGGACGAGTCACTCTAACAATCCACTACGGGCAAAAAAAAGTTTGCATACCCTTGCTGTGTTCCCCTATGTAATGGGGATTCAAGATACCACGAAGATTTGCGTTTCCATCGCGTTCCCGGTCGTGCCAAGGATGAAAAGTTGAAGAAGGAACATGGCTGATCAAAATCCGAAGAGACGAAGGTCCTGACTTCAATGTACTTAATAGAGACATTTCGATTTTCAAAGCATTTCACAAGGAATTGTTCGGTCAGCTTGTGTCTAATGGCTTATACATTTTTCTATTTAGATAACTACTAGTACGAGAGTATGCTCAAGGCACTTTACCAAGGAATATTACCTTCTCCCGACTAAGTCTGGTAGCCAGCGACTGAAAAGAGGTGCTGTTTCATCGAATTTTAACTGGAATTCTCCTTCAAAGCACGAAGAAAGATTATTCGACATGTCGACAGGTACTATATTCTTCAGTTATATTTTAATGTGTCTGTGAGTTATGAGGTTGCCATGATAAGTCTAGACTATTGCTTCTTTCTATTTTTTAAATACTGTATCAGTTTGGGATAAATATTAACTGCTATTTTTAAAATCATTTGTGACACCTTATGGAAGCGATGTATGGTTATGAAGTCTATATACAGACCTCAGATTCTTCAATTTCTAAAAGGATGTAATTGTTTTGAAATTTAAATTTATGTAAACTATAAAAGTATATTTCATTTTTTGGCTTTCTTCGCAGAGATACTCAAACAGATGATAGTGACACTGATGGAGTGGAAAGTAAGGCAATGCAAAACAGGGAAAGTGTGGAAACAGAGGTGCAGTCTCTGAAGGCTCAGCTTCTGGCCATGCATGGAGAGCTTGAGGCAAGCAGAAAGGAAGCAGCTGCAGCTAAAGAAGAGCTAAGAAATGTCAAGGCTGAAGCAACATTAAGTAAATTTGGCCTGGAGAGATTTGGTTCAGACAATGAGAGTATAAAATTTTACGGTGTCCCCTCAAATGAACATATTAAGCTTTTTTTAAATTCATTAAGCCCAGTGCTGAACTAATGACCTACTGTTATGCCTCTGGAGAGAGAGAAAACAGACCAGCCTCCAGAAATATGCTTCTAATAGATGAAATGTTTATGTTTCTTGTTCGGCTTAAACTTGGATTATTTGAGCAAGATCTTGCTGATAGGTTCACAATATATATCATCAGTCTCTAGAAAATTAGTAACCTGGTCCAATTTTTTGCATTTTTTTCTTGGAAGTCAGATCATCTGGCCCTCTAGGGCAGATGTAGATAGATGCATGCCCGAGGGTTTCAGAGAACTCTATCCAAGCACTGGAGTGATTGTAGACTGCACAGAGGTTTTTGTGCAAACACCCACATCCCTGTTGTTACAGTCACAGCTGCACTCATCCTATAGCAAAGAGCAACACAACTTTGAAAGGTCTTATTGGAATCACCTCTCATGGAGCAATACGTTTTGTTTCCACTTTATACACTGGAGGGATTAGTGACAGGGAAATCGCGAGATGTAGTGGTATTTTAGACCTCTTAGAAGCAGGAGACTCAGTGATGGCAGATAAGGGGTTTGATATAGGTAGCATGCTACAGGAATATAATGTTGAGTTAAACATCCCTCCTTTTCTGGAAAATCAAGGGCAGTTTTCAACTCAAGATGAGCAAAAAACTAAAACTATTGCAAGCTTTAAAATACAAACATGTAGAACGTACCATAGGAGGGTTAAGGAGTATCACTTTTTGGATTCCGATGTTCCTCTTTCAACTTTAGGTTCAGTTAACCAGCTATATTCTAAAGCCTGTCTTCTAACAAATTTTCAAGGACCTGTAATCTTATCTAAGTGACAACAGTACAATGTAGAGCATTTATTTGGATTAGAAGATCATTCAGAAAGATTAAATATTAAACTTCTATAAAAAG